GAACATGGGAAAGTTAAGGAGCCAGTTGAAGGTGTCCACGTAAGGGAAGAGGCACAAAAGGTAGGAAGGCGTCCCAGTGGAGCGGATATCCTCGTCGAAGGCGTCGGTCTCCTGGGACGAAGAGGAGAGAAGAAAGGGCCGCGTCGCGGGGAAATAAAACTTAAATGGTCAGTGTGGAGGACAAGGGAGCATGACACGCGTCTTCACAGGCATCGGAAGCAGGAATGCTACCCGGAGGAGAGACCAAGAGGACGATTCCACTCCTGGCGGCCTATCCCCCCACTGACGCCTCTCCCAATGCTCCCAGCGGCCTAAACACCCGCATTCCCACACCCAGCAAAAGATATTGAATGCCCTACCTTGCCTTGTACCATGAAGGAGGTGCTTTTTTCCTCTTTTCCGGGCTCCACTCCTCTGTCCTGGTCCACCTCCTCCCCTCTTCCCCCTGGACTCCTTCCATATCCAGCCCCCGTTACCCTTCTCCCATGCCCTTTTCTATTCAATCCATGTGTTTCCTCGCCCAACCCCAAATGCTGCGGATGCAGACGGCGTTTTTCCTCCTGTCGCTTTCTCTCGGCTGTGGCAGCTGAGTGGGAGCGCAAAACGGGGCCAGCAGGAGAGGATGCAGCGGCCTCGCTTTTATGAGATTTCTCAACGTAGCACATTCCTTTGTGAAAGGATGGGAATAAATGTTATCGTCCTATCTCCCCTGAAATAGATCCGATTGGGTGTATGTCGAGCTGTAGCCGACCGATGTTTCTCGCAGCCACTTCGATCTAAAGTAAATTGGTGGGAGAGATAGGGAAGTTCAGTTGCATGGACAGGAACGGTGGAATGGTGCAGCAATGAGGATTATATGGCAAGCCCGACTCAATGGAGTTGTTGGGTTTGGAAATAATAATCAAGCGGACTGCATGTAAGGTCAGAGGAAGCCCGAGTGTGGGCACGCGCGCGTCCTCTTTGTGCGAACACATGGAACGCTCGGAAGCCGATCAAATCAAAGCCATCAAGATCGTATCCGTCTACCAATGTCACCGGAAAACACCTGTAAAGAACTCATAAAACATGCTTTCGGTCTCAAAGTACCCGCAGACAGTCCCTTCGAACATCGATGGCTTCCGCGTCGACATGGTCTTGGCGAGGTTGTCGCTTTTCGCTGCCCATTATTTCAACGGGATGTAGGCGCAGATATCTTACCTGACAACACGCCAGACGCACAAGCCGTGGCCTCCCCGGATACGAATAAGTCTGATCTTTGACCTTTGCTAGTCTCACGGCACGAGCTCATGCGCAAGCACCTGGATGCGTACTGCGCATTGAACCTGCCAAGCAGGCGGCGCCTCACCAAAAAATGGCTTTCCACGGGATTTTTTTTGTTCCATTTCGCTCGTCTCGCCGCGTCGCTCGATTTTGCCGTGCGAGTTCTAGCTACATTCACCGACATGTTTTAGACGTTGGAAAATATTCGCGCGCATCCCTCATAAAAAATGTTGCAGTCCGGTAAATCTGTCATCTTCGGTGCAGAGAAGGAGAGGACCATCGGTGTACAAGGAAAAAAGGTCATATTAGGGTATTGTTACAGTTAAATAGGTCGCGAAACCTTGCCAGCCAATAGCCAGCAGCTACGACTTGTAGTGGCAACGCCCGCTCGAGCAGGAAAAGATATATCTATATATATGAGTTCACAGGTACATCATTATAGGTAGAAGTAAACCCACTTTTACATCCAATGGAGGAGACTTCGACAAAGTTGAGGACAAGCAAGCTTGAAAAGGGGGAAAAATGATCTTTTCCCCTGAAAAAATGAGGGAAAGCCATTGAGAAATTTTGCGTAAAGTAAGAAGCAACGAAAACGACCATCCTAGATCGACTAATTTCACACCTCATATGTATACGCTTATCGAACCCTCTTCTTTTAGCTTCAAAATCGGCCCTGATAAGCCCCCCATTTATTCGTCATGATGCCTCCACTATCCTATTATCTATATCCTATTCCCATAACCCAGCATATTCGAGCCTATTCACTCCTCCTAAGAGCGATGTAAGTGGCGTGACAGGCACTCAGGTGAAAATTTCTCTGTCTCTGTCCCCCTTTCTGTTTGGTGCTTCACATGCAAAATAACGCTAGTGATACACTCAACAAGCGGCTGTTCGACCGAAGCATAGTGCTGGCATATAAAATTCCTTCTTTCCTTGAATTGACCGCCTTACACGTGATTTGCAATCAGTTCCTTAATAACCTCCGGGTCGGCCAAGGTGCTCGTATCACCCAGATCCTAAGGAAGAGGGAGTTAAGCAAAACGAAACAGGGAGAGAGGTCGTGAGGGGAGGATATGAAGGTAGAATCGTGCGTACACGCGTCATCCTTGGACACCAGCCGTGACAGAACCAACCCGCCCTCCCCCCACTTTCAAACCTCGACGTTGATAGCTTTACCACCCGCTGCAACCTTTCGGAGGATCCGCCGCATTACCTTAAGCGGAGAAGGGGTAGCGGGAACGAAGGGAAAGGGAGGAAGAGGGGGCGGTGGGGAGGAAGAGGAGGAACAGAGAAGGGCAGTGAGAATGCAAGGGGGGGGGAGTGACGCTCCTGGACAGACCTCAATATGTCAGATGGGAAGGTATGCGACAGCACCTGAGCAACATTAGCCTGTGTCTCTATAATGTCGACAGACGTGCTCGGGAAGACTGGTGGACAACCCTCCCCCCCCCTTCTCGTACACTCTTTCTCTCTCTCACCTTTCCTGAACGTGTTTTAGGCAGGTTTGGGGCCCATTGGATGAAGTCAGGCGCTGCGAAGGCGCCAAGTTGGTTCCGAACCTAGGCAGAGAAGGGAGAGAGAGGAGGATGATTGACGCAGGTACACCACGAATCAGAGGGTATGGACAGGGGCGAAAGAAGAGGGAGGCATGAAAGAGACTACCCAAAGAGATATTTGGACTGGAAAGCATCCTGTATCGAGCGGGATACAGGGCGAGAGGGGGGGGGG